CAACATGTCAACCCACACAGTCGCCACGCGGTCCCCACGCTGTTCCCCGGTGTAGCCTGCCGGGCCGGGGCGGCCCCCGTTGTGCCCCATGGACACTGAAGCCGGGGGCACCCCTCTTTTACCCCGTCCCATGGTTCCCCTCAGCTCCCAGCACACAGAAAGAGGTGTTGGATGATGGGGCGAAGCCACAGGACGGTTCATAGAGAGCAAGACACGACCAGCAATGGCCAGCACAGATATATTTACAACTGGGCGAACCGGGCCTGGCCATCGGCACCGGGGAGGCCCACAGTGGCCTCCCGGCGCAGGCCCCCGTGGCACCACAGCAAGGTGTCCTTAGAGGAGGTGTCACAGCAACGTCTTGTCCCCATGGGCATGGGGGTGGCAGAGACCACTTCTTGCACTGAAAGTCCATGCTCAGCTCCCTGCCTTCAAAAATGATGTAAACCCCCCCAAAACGCACCTCCCACCGCGTCATGGGCAGTCTCTTTGCTCGGGCAGCCCCCTTGCTCAGGCAGCACTGTGTTTCCTGACAGGAGAGAGGTGTCCCGAGGCTGGCCCGGTGGCTTCCTGAGGGGTGTCATGGTTCGGCGGGCTCTTGCCGCGGGCCGGGGTCGGCACCCGGGGGCCCCCCCGGCCACGTCCTGGCCCTGCGGCCGCAGCCACGACTCGCGCAGCTCCTGGTAGAGCTCCTGGTGCTCTTCCTTCCAGCTCGCGAACTTCTCCGAGGTGAGCGCGTCGTCGCCAAGAAGCTGCTCCAGGACCTGCAGCTCTGTCAGCTTGGCCTGCAGGGATTAAAGAGCGGGTTTTGGAGGGACTCTCGTGGCCAGGACCGGGGCCGGGGAGGGCCAGGGGCTCCCACCTTGAGTGTGCTCTGCAGGGCCCGCACCAGATGCACCTTCTCGTTGATGAGGGGGTTCTTGTTGCGCTTGATGAACGACTTGCGGCACTGCTCCTCGGTCAGGAACCGCTGCCTCCCAATGAGGGACACCCCGCCCTGCTTCAGGCACTGCATCAGGCTCTCCAGGTCCTCCCCAGAGGGGTCTGGGCGGCAAGAGGGGGTCACCACAGCATGGGGACAGCCCCTGACACAGCCCCACACGTGACTGTCCCACCAACATCTTAGACCCAAAGAGGAGACTGGACCACAACTCAAAAAGAGGGTGAAGACACCCTAACACATCCCGACAGGCCTGCGACAGCTTGAATGAACCTTCCTGCACTGTGCGCCCGCAAAACGGTGGTCAAGAGCTTGGTCAAGGGGGACCCCCAAGCCCCCCAGCACCTACCCATGGGTGAGCAGGGCCGGGGGCTGCCCTGGGGGCTGCTGGCCGCGCTGCTGGGCTCGCTGCCGGCCGCGAAGAGCTGCGCTTTCTCCGGGGCGCTTTGCAGCCTCCTCTTGGGCTGGAGGAGAGACGGGGCAGGAGGTGAGCGCGGGCTCTGCCCTCCCCGCGCTGTCCCCGCTCCCACGGGGACACTTACGGCGTCACAGCCCTGTCTGGGAGAGTCTTCGTCCGGGTCCTCGGCTTCCGTCTCGCTGTAGCAGTCTGGGGACAGGACGGTGGCACTGGAGGGGCCACCTCAGCCCCTCCAGGAGAGGCAGCTCCCCTGCTTCTTGCAGGCCATGGGTGAAGCTCCGAGTTCCCCAGTGCAGGAACCCAACCACGAGGCGTCCCAGCCCTGGGGACACCCCAGGGCCCACGTCCCCCCGGGGGAACCGACCCCTTCTCCTGCCTCGCAGCCGCACGGGCTGCACGTACCTTCCTCCCTCTGCGGGACCGGCTTCTGGGCCAGCGTGTAGTTCATTTTGGCTGTGATCAAGAGACTGACCCACCTGGGGGAAAGGATGGACGGGCGGTCACGGCCAGCCTGTCCCCGCGCTGCGAGGCGTGGGACGGTGACCGGAGTGACTCACATGCTCAAATCAGCCAGCGTTTCTGCGGCGAAAATGAAGGGCTTGTAGGTCTCGTGTGAGAGCTGGAAAACACTGGGAGAGAGGAGAGGGGGCAGCAGCATTCACTGCTGCTTTCCAGGATCACCAGCGACCACGGGCAGCCCTAAGCCCCCTTCCAGCCTCCTGCATCCAGCCTTCCCCCTCCCGAACCAGCCCATGGACTTGGGTGACCGTTTTCGCTGGCATTGGAGACGCTCTGGATGCGCTGTGGCCCTTGGCCACATCTCAGGTAACGCAAGGCACGTCCCACACGCAAACATGGCCTGTCCTAGCGGCGTCCCACCAGCATGGGCAGGACCCAGTGGGCAACAGCCGCGACGCCGGCCCTGCCGCCCACTCACTATTTCTTCTTCTGCTCCCGCGTGCTCTCCAGATCGTAGGTGGCCACGTTGATGAGACCCGCGGCCTTGTCATCCTGCGGGAGAAGCACAGCAAGGTCCACGTCCACCCGCAGCGCTGCCTGCGGCTCCCCGCGGCCCTGGGGACTCACGTTGGGGTGGTTGTACCAGTAGAGCGTGTGGCCTTTCAGCACGAACCAGCAGCGCTTCCACTTCTGCGCCATGAAGGCTACGTGGTCCTTCTTCTTCAGGAGCCAGCCATCGCAGTCCACCCGGCCCAGGTCCCGGCACGAGACCCGCCGGCGGCTCAGCCGGGGCGCCACTCCTGCGGGGACGGTCACTGTCACCTCACAGGGGCGGGGCCAGGGGAG